TGAATTTTACCTTCTCACCCTTTGCCATGAAACAAATGTGAGGAGAGTAGTAGTCATCATCAGACATGTCATTGAAGAGCCTTGGTATAGGGGATGACTTGTGAATAGCAATAGTTGCAACCTTCTCATCCTCTTCACTTGTGCTCTCTTTAGTTGACTCCCATTCATGCCCAATGTGAGCCTCTCACATGTACTTCTTGCTCTTTTTATGGTCGACCTTCTCCTCTTTCTTATCCTTCTTGTATTTGTTGTCCTTGATCTCATATGGACACTTGGCAATGAAGTGATTAGTGCTTCCACAATTGTAGCATGTCCTCTTTTTCTTGTTTGGAAAGCTTCTCTTCACTACCTTGTAGCCTTGCTTCTTTAGCCCCTTGTGATACCTCTTCATAAAGAGAGCAACATCATCAACTTTCTCATATTGATCATCATCATTTTCACTTTCACTTGAAGATGATGTGGTCTCTACTCTTTCTTGAACTTGCTTGCTTTCTTTGGGTTTGCTAGTTGAAACTTGTTGGTTGATCTTGGACTTGCTTGTAGAGCCTTGCTTGCTTGATTTGTTGGCCTGAGAGCTACATCTTTGATCTTGATGCCCTCTAACTTTGCTTGCAATTCTCCAAGTTTCTTCCTCTCATTTGCTTCTTCTCTTTGCATGTCAAAGGTCAAGATTCTCCTAAGTACATCATTTGGTGTGAAGTACTCAAACTTCTTGTCTCTAATTAGAGTGACTACGGTCTCATTTCTAGGTGAATAAGCTTCCAACATAATCTTGACAACTTTATGATCATCTAGCTCATCACAACCAAAGTCTCTAATCTTTCCCACCATCTTCATCAACCTATCAAACATCTCTTATGGCCCCTCTCCATCCAAGATTACAAACCGGTTGCGCTTTGACATTAACAAGTCAATTCTTGCCTTTCTCACTTTGTTAACCCCTTATGTGCTAGGTGCAAAGTGTCCCATATTTGCTTGGCAACATCAACTCCAATCACTCTATTGTACTCATCACCATCCAAGGCACTAAGCAACACACTTGTGGCTTGACCATTGAGGTGAATGATTCTCATCTCTTCTAGTGTTGGGTTCTTGGGATCAACCGGTGGCTCAAATCCATTGCAAACAATCTTCCAAATACCGGGGTGAAGACCTATAAGATAGGCTCTCATCAAGTGCTTCCACTTGGCAAAGTTAGTCCCATTGAAATGAGATAACTTGCCCGCGGGCACATTGATGAAAGACTTCCAATCATGGTAGTCATAGGAATAGAAGAATAGTTAAAGGATACGGCGTCATATTTGTTGTTGTCGACCTTGCCCTTTCCTTTCATCTCCTTCTTGTTTCCCTTCGACACTTGGTATGACTCGTCATCATCTCCATCTTTGGAACTACTTGATATGCTTGATGATGCACTTGTTGTCTTCTCTTTTTCTTCCTTTTTCTTCCTAGCTTCTCTTCTTTTTCTTCTTGCTTCTCTCTTGAGCCTTTTTTCTTCTTTCCTTTGCTTCTTCTCCTCTAACCGCTCCTCCTCCTACTTCTTCTCTCTTGCTTCTCTTTTTAGCTTTCTTTCTTCCTTTCTTTTTCTTCTCTCATTCTCATTAAGTGCTCCTTCGACATCGGTAGCCTCAAGATGTGGTAGCGTGGTGTTGCTTGTTGTCGACGTGCTCAGCTCGCTGCTGCCCGTGTCAACATCCACTCGCTTCGTGCCACTAGTTCCTCCTCCGGGCTCCATACCTCATGCGGTGAAGCGTATATGAGGTAATTGGCTCTGATACAACTTATAGGATCACTGGTTGGCCTAGAGGAGGGTGAATAGACCTGTCAAAACAAACACTCAAACTTTTATCAAATTTACCCTGCAACACTATCGCTCTGGAGGGCGACACTGCCGGACTGCGGCACTGCCGGGCCAGAACAGCGGCACTGCCGCACCTGCAGACAACTTTGAGTCACAGTTCAAAATCCATGAATGAAAATTTAGATCAGAGAAATTTACTAGCTTACTGCAGGTATGACAATCACAGATCAAGAGCTAGAAGTAGTAGGAACAACACACACAAGTAGATCAACTAGAAATCCTAAAAATCACCTCAACCACAATATGTCGTGCAAGTAATGTAAATCAAGCACAAGTGACACAATGATTTATCCCGTGGTTCGGCTCGCCACCAAGGCTTGCCTACCTCCACGTTGTTGAGGTTAGCCACTAAGGCTTAGGGATTTCCAACCCTTCTTCGTTCTCAAGTCAAGAGACTTAACTCTTAAGATGATGGGTGAGTTTACTAGCTTCAAGAGATAGTTACAAACCTCCCGGGGCTGCCACATAAGTTGGCAAGCTCCACGGGTGACGCTCTAGCCGGCTAGGAGCCAAGCTCCAAGAGTAACAAACACAACCGCCGGTCAAAACGTGAACCAAGTGCTCTTTAGAGTTGGAGAATCAATGGAGCTGCTCTCTAATCGAGTTTTGGACCCTTTTCCCTCAAGGATTGATGGGGAAATCAATAGATTTGCTTAGGGGCTTGATGTCAACAATGGAGGGAGGGAGAGAGAGCTCCTGCTCTATTTTGGGTGTGTTGAAGTTAGGAAGAAGAGGCAGAGTACCATTGAGAAGGAAGGGGAAGGGTATAAATACCCCCAGCCCCCAACGGTCACTTAAGTTGTGGCAGTGCCATGGGTCAAGTGCGGCAGTGTCGCACTGCGGCAGTGCCTCTCTTCAAGTACGGCAGTGCTGCACCACACAAGACAACAAGGGTAAGAGTGAAGTGTAGACTGTCTTGGCTATTAATCTGAGGATGCATGTGTATGTTTGAGCACTTGGTAGCACATATTTGCTTAAGCATTGTGTCCCCCTTTATAGTACGGCTTTTCCTATACTCAAATTCAAAATATAAAAGAATTTAAAGCTCCTTTGAGTTTGAAGCCGTCTACATTTGTAATTGGGGGCTCCTCTGTTTCGTGTAGCATCCTCGAACATGAATTCCCTGCTTGTCATCTCGATAAATCTCATTAGTTCTCTAATTGCGTGGTTATTATCACCAAAAAGCATAATTATGGCTTGATTGCACTTTCAGTTATTTTATTTCAATGGTTTCCAAACTTATGAATTGCTATCTCCGTCCTACATTAATATAAGGTATCTAAGCGTTCGAAAATTGTCCTAAATTTTAAGGCATTCTAGGTGAGCTAACCCTCTAACAATTTAAAAAAAGGCAGAATTCACATGCATACCTACCATTTATTTCTATTACTAACTCAAATGTGTTTTGTGGTTCTCCAAATTCAAACAAAATACCATTTAGGTGAAACAAATGCTCTTAGCTCTCTGGATATGCTTTGGGAGACTAAGTATAGAGTAGGAGACACTAGAGTGGCTCAAAGGGTCATAGATATAAAGAGGCTAAAAGTTCCATATTTTCAATAGTTTGGAAATGGTGAAAAGGAACTCTACAGAGAACCCATAAAAGTGTTCTAGAAGTATGATCGTACAAGCATAGGCATTTCATGGTCCTCCAAGGTACATATCACTCCTCCAACTTTATGTGACCAACTAAAAAGGTTTAAAATATCATAATAGGATGGCAACATGAAGTCACCTCAATAAACTAAAATACTGCCACGAAGAACTCTCTAGTACTTGAAACGGATGGCTAGAAAGAAGGTAGTCTACGGAACTTCTATGACCCGAAGAAAATGTGATTGCATACATACGGAGCTTCTATGAATTCGAGTGAATATGTTCTACCACAAAAAATCCAACCAACTGAGCTACCAATTTGCAATGCTATCCTATCAATAGAAATTACAAGAACGATTATAGTGATTTGTTAGCCAGACTCAGTGTTATCCTAAACACTAAACTGTAAATAGTTGGTCATTTGCCGTCTAGTCATTATTCGACCTAAACAGACGCTTAAACAGGCAAATGGGACGACTAGACGGGATAAACGGCCGATTAAACGGAAATGGCATATCACTGTAGTGTTTAACCGTGTGTAAACGGGCTACATGACCGTTTAGGCGAACATTAGCTAGACCACGTGTCACGTAGAACTCTCTAGTATTCGAAACGGATGCCTAGAAAGAAGGTAGTCCACGGAACTTCTATGGCCCAGAGAAAATGTGAATGCATACATAAGGATAGCTATAATGACATGTCCAGGAGAGAAACGCTAAGAGGAAAGTAGGTGAGACTTCTGTCGTATTCGACGCTTTTCTCCGAATGCCCGCCCTTTAAATCATGGATTCATCCCAAGCCGTCCCAGTGTTATGCATGAGACAATTATTGTTCATGTATGTACCATGTATACGTGGTTGCAGTAACCTGACACGAAAATACCTTAACAATGTTATTTAGGAGTTCATGAATTCTGTTTCATTCCCTCTTGTTTTGGTGAATGAGTAGTAGAGAGGGTTTAGTGCCTAAAAGCTTTGAGCTCTTGAAGGTGATACATCATCCCTTGCCGTCCTAAGTCTTAACAAAAAAACATCTCACCTTCATGCACCATAGATAGGTTTGTGGCTCGAACGGTAGAGAAATCTAGGCCCGGTATCTCGCAGACACGTTAGCCTACTTTTTCTCCAGAAAGCATGAGGCGGTGACAAAATTTGTTGCATAAGCAACAAAATTGTGAGCACAGCACGAAGCATTCACCGTACAGTCCCCTACTGTTACTGTGTCTCCAACAAACGGTGGCCTTGAACACACTACGCAAGTAAGCAGCAGGACTGTTTATTTCATTTAAGCCCTTGAAAATGCAGGATATTATCATGCTCAGTAGTTGCTCACCTTCAGAAATCAGAATGTCTCATCGGAGGACTGATTTGTGATACACATTGAAACCAAGGTGTGCTGCCGTAAGTTGCTATACAAACGTTTCACTTCTTTTTAAACCCCCTGTTCTGTCATCATCACTCTTACACAACATCTTCCCAGGAACTCCCTACATCGGAGCTCAAAGAGCAAAAAGGCTTTGGTGAGCTTGAGGGCGTGTGCAGCCATGGCTGTCCTCGGCACCGCGGCGGTTGAGGCGCTCATCCCGGTGGCGGCGTTGATTGGCATCGCCTTCGCGATGCTGCAGTGGTACGTGGTGGCCAGAGTCCCCGTGCCTTCGCACGCCGGCGGCGGCGAAGGCAGTAAGCAGGGCCGCGGCGTGCGGGGGGAGGAGGAGGAGGGGGATGAGGAGGACGGCATGGACTACCTGCTCGTGGAGGCCCGGTGCGCCGAGATCCAGCGCGCCATCTCCATCGGCGCCACGTCGTTCCTGCTCACGGAGTACAAGTACCTGGCCGCGTTCACGGCGGCGTTCGCGGCGGTGATCTTCGTGTTCCTGGGGTCGGCGGAGCGGTTCAGCGCGCGGCCGTCGCCGTGCGCGTACGACCCGTCGCGGGAGTGCCGGCCGGCGTTGGCGAACGCGGCGTTCAGCGCGGTGGCGTTCCTGCTGGGCGCCGCGACGTCCGTGCTGTCGGGTTACCTGGGCATGCGCGTGGCCACGTTCGCGAACGCGCGCACGGCGCTGGAGGCCCGCCACGGCGTGGGGCGCGCCTTCGCCGCCGCGTTCCGGTCGGGCGCCGCCATGGGCTTCCTCCTCGCCTCCAGCGCGCTGCTCGTGCTCTACGCCGCCGTCAACCTCTTCGGCCTCTACTACGGCGACGACTGGGGCGGGCTGTACGAGTCCATCACCGGATACGGCCTCGGCGGGTCCTCCGTCGCCCTGTTCGGCCGCGTCGGCGGCGGCATCTACACCAAGGCCGCTGACGTCGGCGCCGACCTCGTCGGCAAGGTCGAGCGCAACATCCCCGAGGACGACCCTCGCAACCCCGCGGTACGCGCGCACGTCACTGTCACGCTCTCTGCATGCAACGTCCTGCTGGCTGTTTGCTTTGCTTTGCTTCATCATGTCCTACACGTATCTCAAAGCAAAATCGATCACCGTTGCATGCACCGACTACTCGTGTTTTGTTTTTTTTTTGTTTTTCTTTTCTGCTAGAGATAATTACTACTGGCATATATGACGTCAGTTACAAATGAGGGTCGGTGTGTTTGCACATGCTTTTCCTACACGTAGTATGTGTGAGCAGCATGGTCGTCGTCCACAATGTACGTGATGCCGTGCCGTATGTGTGACGATGAGAATTGTGCAGGTGATCGCCGACAACGTGGGGGACAACGTCGGCGACATCGCCGGGATGGGGTCGGACCTGTTCGGGTCGTACGCGGAGTCGTCCTGCGCCGCGCTCTTCGTGGCCTCCATCTCCTCCTTCGGGGCGGAGCACGACCTCACGGCGATGATGTACCCGCTGCTCATCAGCGCCGTGGGCCTGCTCGTGTGCGCGATCACCACCGTCGTCGCCACCGACGTCACCGAGGTGAAAGAGTCCGACGAAGTCGGGCCGGCGCTCAAGCGGCAGATCCTCATCTCCACCGTGCTCATGACCGCCGGCGTCGCCGCCGTCACTTTCCTCGCCCTGCCGCCCAGCTTCACCCTCTTCGACTTCGGCAACGACAAGCACGTCAAGAACTGGCACCTGTTCATCTGCGTGTCGGCCGGTCTGTGGGCGGGACTGGTGATCGGCTACGTCACCGAGTACTTCACGAGCAACGCGTACGGGCCGGTGCAGGCGGTGGCGAGGTCGTGCAGGACGGGCGCGGCGACGAACGTCATCTTCGGCCTGGCGGTGGGGTACAAGTCGGTGATCGTGCCCATCCTGGCCATCGCGGCGGCCATCTACGCCAGCTTCCGCCTGGCGGCCATTTACGGCATCGCGCTGGCGGCGCTGGGGATGCTGAGCACCATCGCCACGGGGCTGGCCATCGACGCGTACGGGCCCATCAGCGACAACGCCGGCGGGATCGCGGAGATGGCCGGGATGCCGCGCCGGGTCCGGGAGCGGACGGACGCGCTCGACGCCGCGGGCAACACCACGGCCGCCATCGGCAAGGGGTTCGCCATCGGCTCCGCGGCGCTGGTGTCGCTGGCGCTGTTCGGCGCGTACGTCAGCCGCGCCGGGATCACGGCAGTGGACGTGCTGAGCCCGCGCGTGTTCGTGGGGCTCCTCGTCGGCGCCATGCTCCCCTACTGGTTCTCGGCCATGACGATGCGGAGCGTCGGCAGCGCCGCGCTGCGGATGGTGGAGGAGGTGCGCCGCCAGTTCGACACGATCCCGGGCCTCGCCGAGGGCCTCGCCGTGCCGGACTACGCCACCTGCGTCAGGATCTCCACCGACGCGTCGCTCAAGAAGATGATGGCGCCCGGCGCGCTCGTCATGCTCAGCCCGCTCGTCGCTGGCACGCTCTTTGGGGTCGAGACGCTCGCGGGGCTCCTCGCTGGCGCACTCGTCTCCGGCGTCCAGGTCGCCATCTCTGCCTCCAACAGCGGGGGTGCATGGGACAACGCCAAGAAGTACATCGAGGTCGTAGCTAGAATGAACATCTATATATCCCTCTCATCTCAATGCAGCAGGTTGACCTGTTATGATGCGGCTGGCATCATTATATCCGTTGACTGACTCTCCTGCATGCATTGCAGGCCGGCATGTCGGAGGAGGCGAGGTCGCTGGGGCCCAAGGGATCGGAGGCGCACAAGGCGGCGGTGATCGGAGACACCATCGGCGACCCGCTCAAGGACACCTCCGGCCCGTCCCTCAACATCCTCATCAAGCTCATGGCCGTGGAGTCGCTCGTCTTCGCGCCCTTCTTCGCCGCGCACGGTGGCATCATCTTCGACCACCTCTGATCATCTGATGATCAATGCATGCTAGCATGCTGCTGCCGTTCCATGGCAAAGGTGCCGGCTGTCGCGGCGAGCCGCCTCTTGAACTTGCGGTCATCAGTCAGTAAGAATAATCGTCGTGTATGTAGCTTGCCGCCTCTTGAACTTGCGGTGATCAGTCAGTAAGAATAATCGTCGTGTGTGTAGCTTGCAACAATGTAACAAGCAATGGTGTCGATCGGTGCCTAGTTCCAGTGATGCCAGACCACCAGAGTTGGAGGCTTATTCATGTCCGGCCCTCTTATCTTACCCTTGAATATGCTCCGTATGCTGCGAAGCCAACATGCTGCAGCCTCTTCGTTTCGTCGTAAACGATTGTGGATTATTTACTGCTGACTGGTTTGATGTGAGAGAAAAATAATATTCCAACTTATAATCCACGATCGTATACGAGCAAGCGAACAGACTCTGATCTGCTGCCTGCTAGAGAAGTGACAAGCCTAACCTGAGACTGGTTCCTAAAGAAATTCCAGCATTTCGCCATGGAACATTTCAATACCTACAAGATTTGGAGAAAATTTTAGTTTTCTAAATATGATCTTAACCAGCTCACGAAAGATAGAATAACACAACACTGAAAATCGTCATCCGTCGATCACCAGACTGGTGCGGTATCACCCCACATTGAGCAAGCATATATGAAACAGAAACCCTGTGATGTCGGGTTTGCTTTCTGACCATGGTGGCTAACATTCTTGTGCCCTCGGGGCTTATTTGGCTGCACTTCGATCCACCACGATCCATGAAAAATGAACTAGTTTTCCATCCCCGATTATTAGAGTCCAGCCAAACAATGCCTCAGTTAGATTTTTCATCATGCCATATCCACGAATCAACAAATCACAATGCTACTGACGTCAAACTAACCTGTCCTTCCACTTCTACAAGAGTAACAGCTTAGCCAATGGCCCCAGAGGAAACAATTTCGAGCAGGGGGCGTGCATTTTTCGCCCCTATTGCTTGTTAGTCTTACTACGCTAATTCAATGAAACTAGGATGAGCTTTCCTTCTATAATGCTGCACAAAAAGGAGTTCATACTCAACTTCCAATCCTTCTCTCGGGGATTAACTGTACATGTTCACAACTCAGCCAAAGTTGAAGTCGGAGATGAACACAACTGTGGCCAAAACTATCTCACATCCGATCACTTCTCGCTGGTTCAAGTTTAGACGTGTACTCTCAATTTCATCATAAGCAACGGCGGGTTGAAGTCTAACGTGAAAAAAAAACAATAGTATGACCTCACTGAGGCTCTGCATCAATTGATTTTGTTGTATCTAGGAACCGTCTTGGGAGACAAATCCCCTGCAGCTTCATTGCAGTCCTCTCCCTTTTGATGCACAGATCCAAAGTTTCTGGGGCACGTTGTTGATTCTAAGAGCCTCGGCTTCCATCCCCTTCGCCACTGCCTTCAGAACTTTTCGCGCTTCTAGAAGGCGAGGCTGAAGCAACACTCTTTAGCTTTTTGTGAGGTGAATGTCTGCCACCATCTGGATTGTTCCCCACCACTTGGGCCTCATCAGCATTAACAGGCTTTCTGCGAGGTGGATCGAATATTTATCATCAATATCACAATCCGCAAGCCCACCAGATTCATGCCAGAAGAAATAACAAAATATCAGTGAGATACAAGATACAAAGTATGGATCAAAGTTCAGAAACTACAGATAGTGCAGTGAAAACAACACTCGACAAATTATCATCAATCTAACCAGCAAAAGCTAGCAAATAAATGTTAGATGCAAAGTGAACTGGACATCCATCTGCACTTGCAGAAGATTTGAGATACCTTGCCGGGATAGATTGCTCCTGTGAATGCATTGTTGGTGTAGAAGAATCTACTCTGTCACTAAAAGGGAAAAGAAAAGGAATTTCATGTTTGGTTAAGTGAACAATGGAATCCCAAACTTCATTGGGCCACCAACATAAAATAGGCAGCAGACAAGAAAAATGAAACAAACAAACCTATCCTTATTAAAATAACCTTCCTGTTCCTTATCAGCACCTCTTTCATCTGCTTTCTTTCTCGTGTCAACCACACCAGTACTTTGCTTTGTTTCTGCACTCTCCACAATCTAACAAGAACACAGGCCAACCAATCATTGCCTGACTCTATAGTAGTACATAGCACCCTAAGCCACAATTAAATATAAATGGTTTCATTTAGCTAAGTACAGAAGTACAATCATCCTTCAAATAGCTTAATATTCATAAGGTTGATTGATAATGACAATGTGATATACTCGAGTTTCATTTATCAAGCATACTAGTATACTACCTCTGGTCGGCAAAAGTTGTCGTTGCATACAAGCAAAATAAGGAGCAAATAAGTTGCAAAATAAGGAGCAAATAAGTTACTTGCCTTTTCTGGAACATCAGATTTTATTGACATGAGGAGGTACTTAAGTTTGAAGGACTGAATACTCTGCAATCGTTCAAACTTCACAAGTTGGTCCCAAAAAGACTCAGCAACATATTCAATAAGGGGCTCAAGATTTTCCTGCACACAAAAAACCATCAAATGACGTAGCATGCTGAATCGTGATTTGCAAATAAGCAAACAGCTCCAGTACATACCTTTCTTATGTACTCCAACAGTTCAAGGATCACAGATTGTAGCATGTTGTCTCTATCGCCATTTTCATCAAATGCCTTAATAACTGGCTTCAACAAGTTCAGCTTGATAACACGGTCAACAAGAAAGTCATCCTACAGAACAAAGACAATTTTGTCAACTCAAGACCAAACATAAGACGATATGGTAAATTTTAATAACATGGTAATTAGAATATGCTTGCTGGTCCCCGGAAAATGTGGTCAAGCACCAATCAGCTTAATAGTGCAACTGAAGAACAAAGTTTTTTATTTTGAATTTTGATTATTCCTGTCATAATGCAACATGAGCCTTCAATGCTGCAACGTGACCTACTTCATGGAACAAAGTAAATTTCTTACCTTTCTGCCAATTATAGTCCGAACGAATTGGACAGCTGCCACAACCAAAACCTTCTCTCTCCGATGGGTTAAAGTAAGAATTTTCTCCATTGCATTGGTTGCAAAAAATATCCTGCAACATCAAGAGCTTTGTTTTAGCAAAGAAACAAAAAAAAATGGTAACACAGAAAAGCAACAGCACGACTGAATGAGAAAACAGGGAAAAGAGAAGCTTTTGGATAGAGGATTACTTCATCCTGTTTGTATGATGAAGTGCACAGAAGGATAAAAGCTCACAAATTTTCAACAATGTTTCAGGCTTAGCAGAATGCTGTTCAACCATTGTGCGAACACCAGCTGAACCTGACGTTGATCTGGCAATGCCCTTTGGAGCGTAGGACGAAGCTATTACGTCAATCAATTTTTGAATATGCTTGTCAAAGAAAACCTGAAGAACAACATCTTGCTGCAACAGAAAAAAAAAGACCTTCACACCAATGCAATCTCATTGAATACCAGCAATCCAAACTTCAATATTTGAATTTATCATAAAGCTACTCATATGCATCCAAAATCAAATCAAAATGAGGATAGAAAACTAGCAATAATATGGCAAATACACTATTTTCCTATTCTAAAAATAGTTTCACTATCCTATAGGTGCCTAACATTCTTAGTCCAAAAAGAATTACTGTCCAGTCATCACATTTTACATCAAAGTAACAGAAGAAGTAAATCATATTCGATTATGCATCTTACATGATTTGTAGTTGTATCGGAAGAACCCAACAATATCTTTAGACAAGACTGATAGAGCATTTCCTCAGCAGAGTCAATTATCATCCCTTGAACCTGAATTTGAGAAAACCATAAATATATATTGCTAGACGAGGCAGTGATGATAGATATCCATGTAATTTAATCAGAATGACAAATGCTCAATGCTACTAAACATTATTTTGAGAACAGTAAGCAATGCCTGCAGTAGAGAAAAAACAACTCAGCCATCGGTTACTTAAGTTGATAGTTCAACTACCAAGGCACATAACAAAAGGAACATAAGGTAAACATAAGCTTCTATTCATGGCTACCAATTAAAGAAACCATTGCATGAGTCTATCGTAATTTGAAGCAGATGTACATCACAGTGCCAACTGTCAAATCATGCAGTTATTGGCAATGGCTACAACAAACATCAATAGAAGAAGAATTCACATAAAGTTGAAGGACAAAAGGAGAAGGGGCAAGCAATTCATGGTCAAGCTCAACAGGGACCAACAAAAGCCCAGACAGCAAAAATGTAATGACCAAATGATAGAATATCTATACAGTGCAATTCTCCTAAAAGAAAAACAACTCTGCAGAAGAAGTGTTTGAGAAAACAAGAAGAAATACACATAGCGATAGATGATTCTAGAAATACAATTCGCTACTTGGACTAAAAGCACATATGAATGTTGTACAATTAATTCAAAATAAAGGGTGCAAACTTACCAGAAACTCAAGAAGAGAATTTCCTTCTAGGTAGTTCTCTTCATGATTGGCAATAAATGTTCTAACTAAGTCAGGATGCAGATCAACAAAATACACAAGTATGTTTGCCCTGCATTTCCCAAACAAATAGTGCAATCAGAGGGACAAAAAGGAATAGGTTTAAACAAAGAAGAGCAAAGAATCCGTCGATTGCTCTATAGGTTACCCAGCTGAAAAGAGTTCTTTATCCTGACTCTGAAGCACATCAGAAATTATGTTGAACGCACCTTCATCAATGAGATCCCTAGACAAAGGAGAAAAAATATGATTAAAGTGATACAAAAAAGTTTGATGACCGTCGATGTCAAAACAAATTGTACTTGAATGCTGTGTCATTGGAAAATTGCCTGCATTCTGATCCACCCATTTTCAATAGTGCATCAAAGAGCATGAGAAACAATACTGACAAGAGGTAAATGAGTTCCCCTCATGAATACAATATGTTTTTTTAAGAACAGCAAGAGATTTGCCGTAATTTATATTAGAAGAGAAAAAGGCAAAAAAAGAAAATAAAAGCCAGTTACAGAACGTCAGGACATGTTTATGGTTATGAATACAGTATGAAGTATCCTAATTAAACTTCTAACATAAAATGGAATGGCTAGTAGACAGTGAGCCTCCTGCATTCATGGCTGAGATAGATGAAATACTAATCCTGCCTTTTACTGATCCTAGAAATAACTCTTCAGTATTTGATCACGTCAACACGTCAAAATTGGCCATCACAATCATAACTTGTGTTCAATTTAAGTGTAAGTACTAACCTAGACAGCTGTGATTGTCCCTTAGGCTCCAAACTTTTGCTGAGAATGCAAAGCTCACGCAAAAACAGGACCTACAAAGAACAGGATCTTGTCAATGTAGACAGCATTGACCATTAATAAACATGATCACAAACATATCACAAATGAGAGGTCATACCAATACAAATGACTACTTGTACCCTTCTTTCTCTTTCCCTGCTAGTTTTATTTCAGATAAGTATTAGGTTCCAACCCATACCTTTATAAAAGTTTGGTCTGTACAGTTTCTACTACATATTCAGTAGGGTTCTCACTCATTATTCCTATAAAAATATTTGTGTAGTGAGCTAAAGTGGCAACGGTCGATATGCATCCACAATAGTACAGAATAACTACATTTCATGTCTATGCAACTCATACACCAAACATAACACCGCACTTGACCTGATTTGAGGTATGACTCAACTCAGTTTTGTCTTTTGTTTAAACTTTGTTGATACTAGTTTCTATCAACAGTATTGATGCAAGACTACCATGGTTTAGAATTTTGGCCCATGCTAACATTTTTCTCATCAATTGACGGGTGATAGGTTTTTGTCCATGAGTTGCATAGACATGAATGTAGATATCCCTACTTTTATATAATGCATGTTGTTGCCTTTTTAGGTCACTCCACAAATAATTCTCTTTTTTTGGAACAGTAAGGTAGAGACCTGCTGATATGAGTGCAGATTTCACGTCCAAGGTTTCCAGTATACTCATTACCATTAGCCAATTCAGCATGTTGCAGTGTTTAAAAAATCGTAAAAATGGCTCGTGTAGGTAGTACACAGTGGCGGAGCATGAGTGTGTGACCGAATATCAAGGGGAGGCTAATCCACTAATAAACATTATTGTCTTAATCTCTATAGTAAGCACTATGGCATGTGTGTTCATGAAAATAAAGAATCTTGGTGGCGCCTGACAACCGAGTATTGTGCCAACTGGTGACATGTCGCTGGCTTGCTACTCCATGCAGCCTGTATTTTGTGCAGAACCTATGAACAGCTGGTATGACTGTTGCACCTGAGAACTGTGTACAAGAAGCAGCTAGGCATCATGACAAAATAGGTCCTGGTGTGACAGGTTTTATCTGTTAAACTTATTAACTGATAGGCTAGGGAGCTAACTGTCTCTTCACAATTTTGTCGCAGGCAAGCAGGGGCGGGAGCCCAGTTTCGCCTCAACTGAGTTCCGTCCCTGGTAGTACACATGGAGTTAAGTAAACATTGCAAAAGTTCAATGTAAAATTTATCCTAGTTGTCAAGAAACAAACAAGAAAATCAATATGGCATTGCTCATCATGTACTAACAAGTAACAGCACCACAAGACAAGCAGTCAATCATGCATGACTAACAATTTACAAAAAGAAACTTTTTCCCTTTTGCAGCAGTATAATAGCAAATGGAAAATTCTTCTGAGAAAATCATTGTTAATTCATAATATGCTAAATCAATAATTATTATGTCTAACAAATATAACATAAGATTCTTGTAAAGAAGGTAATGTCTCAATACGGAAAATGAAAAGGCAGTAGAACACGATACTAATCTCACCAGTTTGCTTTTTGATTCAGCAGAAGTATTCGAAGATGTTATCCTTGCAATCAGATCTTGGATAAAAGAAGCATCGTCCTTTAGTACAGAAACAACCTACAGACGGATTATATAATTCAATTGGCAAAAGAAAATTTTGATTTGAAGCATGTGAAAACTTGAAGTGTTGAAACACTAACAAAAGGCTTGTTCCACTCAATAATTGAGTTCAGGCTTGACACAGTAGGACCATCCAGTGCATTCAGTAATATAACATCCTGCCAGTAGCAAGCATTCCAATTTGAAATGGTTGAGCACAAAAGATAGCTAGAAGATAAATAAACTCCAAGTAGGGAGGGGCAAAGTGGGGTATGGCTGACCTTTATATAACCTATTATGTATGTTTGACGAATCTTTGAGGCCACAGAAACATTTCCAATGTGTATGGCCTATGTGAAAAAAAAGTTCACACAAATAAGAAATATATCTCAATCAGGCTCGGGCTAATATGCATAAGAACTACATTACCTCATTGAGGGCTTGATTCTGCACGAATTCACGATGACTCTGCACATTGGGAACCTCTGGATCATCTGCTCGCACAAGAAAGCATTATAAAGAACAATGCATGCAATTTTATAGGTATGTGATAGTGTAAAAGTTTCAATTAAAATGGACACAGCACAATTTCTTAAAACTGCTGAGGTGGAGCACAATGAGTTGTACAGTGCTTACACTCAAGGGCCCCAATTATGTCAAGGATAAAATCATCAGAGAAAATCTTGTGAAATATGTCAGGATTGTTCAATGATACTGCAAAAGAATAAATAATGTGAGCTGCAATCTAAAATAACCAACGGTCATGTTTAACAGGTTTTTACATACTGATTCCCTTGACTAGTCTGAAGATCATGTGGAGATCATCCATGTTTCTTGAACCCTCACATGTTCTGAAAAGGTCCACTAGCTTGGGGAAAAATTCATCCTGCTACATATGACACATTTAAAAATTAAAAGGGTTCAAAAAACACCAAGGCATGCATACAAAAAAATATGTCACTTCTCTAAATTTCAAACTTCAAGCTATGTATCATTAATAGTTCAAACAATGAGGCTGATATGTTCAAGCAATGTGTAGCTTGTTGTTTTGTTTAATGCTTCAGCCTTGGGCTGTGGAGATGTAATAAAGAAAGGTGATTCATTGTGTGCATCAGCTGATGCGGAGGATGCAATTTATTTGTTCCATTGTCCAAACAATTATCAATTGTTCAAGGAAACCTGGCCAGAACAAAATACAATAGTACTCCGTATAACAATCCAGTGACTTATTCTGATAAACTGCAATGTGCTGAAGTAATTTCATATTCTCATATAACAATTAGTACCTATATTTGAGAAAGAGGTAAAGTACTCCATAGAAGACTGCTACTCCCTCCACCCAAAACAAAGAGTGACCACAATTCCGTGCTATGACGTTTAACATGAAAAACAGCCCTTCAATGCAAAACCATTTCAGGATTACATTAGTTCAGATTATAATTAAACCATCCTCTACATGGTTATTACACGACGGACACAAGACTAACATTTGATAAGTTGGTAGCTCACACTTCTAAAACAAGAAGTGTCATTTTATTACAAAATTTACTGGCCAACCTCATATTTGGGGCAATATACACAGCCATGTTGCACCCCATATAATGACGCTTACCGCAATCTGCTATCAAAATACTCTGTGCTTTGCCATATGCCATTTGAGATGTCTCAGTTATCCACAGGGACATACACATGCTTAATGGAACACCATGCCACCATAAAAATAAATTCATAACTTACATTTTGGGATATTAACTCTGCAACGCGCGTCCCATCCTTCGTTCCCCACTCCAATACAGTCTGGGCATTTGGTTCACAACATTTCAACAATCAATACATAATGTAAAATGTATTATGATTCATAATTACACGACGGTTCAGGCACATAAACCATATATTACTCTTGAAATTATATGTAGACATCTATTTTCCAAAGTTTTACCGACAATGTTTTGGAGCCCATGCTTTAGACCATTTTCAAGTGAAATATAAAGCTCTTGTCACCCAACTACCATAGCAAGTTAGCAACCCAAACGATATATCGATATTCAGCATCATGAAGACATTAGGAATGTTTTTCGAAGCATAGGTTGCTCTAAAACTCTTGGGAATTATTTATTTGAACTAAATAACCCTAGTTCCCTGTCAAAACATGCACAAAATAAGAAAAAGATTATATGAATTCATAGGAAAATAACAATGATTGTTCTCACACCTTTAAAAGCAAAGGAAGGCTGGACAGCTCAAGAGAAGGAAGATCCTTCAATCCATCTGCAGGTAAAGTGATAATTGATCATGGCATTGCTACAGACCAGTATACACCAGACAATTACAGACTTGTAGGAATAAAGATGAGAATGATATTATGGGCTAGTTGGTGGTTGCGGTCCTGTGCTATGCTGGGGTGTGCTGTGGAATCTGGTTATTTGACAGAAGAGCACTGTTATACATAGAACTCATTTGTAAAACTCATCACATCCAGAGGATCAAAGGGCTCAAATCAATTGAGTGATGGATTACTTGAGAATCAATGGGCCAAACGCACCTTGGTTGTACTGGAGTTATACAAGTGGGTTATACATGAAGTATTTCCCCTTAAGGTAAGGTAATACTAGCAGAATTTTGCTGTTACAGATCCAGAAAAAGAATTTTGCTGTTACAGATCCAGAAAAGATACTTCCAACTAACAGCTGGATCCACAGCTGGGAACAAAATGCTTTCGATAAAACCATCATAAAGCCAAACAGAGGAATAAGAATTTAAGAACATTAAGGCATTGGCTGTCAGATAATCAGAATTTCATATTTGAACCTTTGGGCATTGTTCCTGATCACAATCAAACAACTTTATCAAGGCCATTAAATAAATTAATAAAAACAAACGAAGCAAACAAATATGGATTGTTAAATCACTTTGATCTGAAATTAGTGCAAAGCAATGTGCAAGTACATGCAGGGACAGGCAGAAACAACTAGTTACCGACCTGCCATACCATGTAACAATGAACCACTAGAAACTTCTAGGGATTCAAATGTTGGACATGGAAAGACTTGAGATGCCATGGAAAATAAAAAAGAGCACACTAGGGCAACAGAAGAGTAAAAAAATACACAGTATGTTTAGCAAACTCACAGCCAAGGTCACCAGATTGTAGCTTTTGCTGTAAGTAATTTATGTTCTGCCTGCATAAATTACCATAATGTAAAGACATGTGTAAGCATATAAGGGGGCACAGGGCACAGCAATATTCATTAATCACTGAGTTACCATATATATCCGCATCCTTCAGCTTCTTGAAAGCTCAGCAGTAAATCTAGTTCTTTTTCAGGATCCTTCCATGAGATAATTGTTTCTACCAACAAAAATGGACATGTGCATTAGTCTATCAGGGCAAGGAAAAACGTCCACAATTAAAAGAATAGAACACCATCTTACTGTCTTGTTTCTTGTAGATATTATCCGAAGTAATATGGTGAAGTAGTAGCGTGTCATTATCCACCTCATCCACGACAGCCAGAGCAATTTCTTTTGACCCCTAGATCAGAAAAAAGACTGAAAAGCTAAACCCCCAATAGCAATGAGTCAAAAATTAAGGCACTATATACCAAAAAAAAAATCTGTAATGTGCTATGGCTAGTTGTCATTTATCAATTGTATTGTACAAAATCATCCTAGGAAATTGCTTCATCTCTTACTTTTTTTGCTAAAGTTCTTTTTTTTTTTTTCTGTTGAGTAAAAAATAATTGATGTTTTGGATAAGGTTCCAGTCAAACTTTTGAACCTTTGACTAGCAATATATTTTACAATATGTAGCTTTAAAATAAGGTTATATGTGTAGATTTGCCTTGAAAGTACCTTCATAATATTAGAAGCCTATAGTACAGATAATCTAATACAAATAAGTAGTCAATTTGGAGATTGTATTGTTGTCCAAAACATCAGTATGACAGTATCAGTATCTGTGACAGAAGGGAATAATAGCTATCTAAAGAACTATACGCAAACCAAACCACGTAACAGGGTAATGCCATGAGCAGCATTTCGAAATCAGATCTAAACATATAACAAGAGTCAATGGAGCAAATATAATGGCCCAAAAATTATGCAAGGAAAAAAAATAATTCCATTGTATTTGGTCAAATTAGAAAATAGGATGATAATCTTTTTCTAAGAAAAATAAAATAGCATGATGACCATGCCGTCAAGACCTTAGCAGGATACATACCACTCAAATGGAAAATATAAAACAGAAAAGGTTAATCAGAGAGGAAATCAAATCCAGTTACATGTGTGAAGCAATGTTTACATCATCACATGATAGTGGAAGCTAAAATAATATCAACAGAAACTAATTTACCAATACAATATGAGACCAAATATTGCAGGTATCATTTTAGAGAATGTTCACAGGAGATATGAGTCAAGAGTTGACCATACCTCAATATAGTCAATTGTTATGTGGCCTGTTCCCTGGTCATCCCACTGCCCGTCATTAGTTAAACAGTATACTTTGACACGCTGGACATTGTTTTGAAACATTACAAAATGCACAGACACAGTAAGTAGACCAACAGTTAAAAAGCATAATATCTTGCGTAAGAGTGACTTTGCAGAAAAAAATATATAAAGATAATATACACCTTATAAGAGGAGAAGGATAACATATATAGCCATCCTAAGTTACTTAGTGCAGGTACATTGCAATTGGTGGTTAGTAACTCCTCAGCACTGGCAATGTTTGGTTGACACAAAGTTTAGATGCCATAGGTTCGTTCGTACTTCATAGACACATAACTGAAAATGAACACAAAGTAGCACACTAAACAATGAATCGATACAATCTTCTCACGGTGGCCAGCAGGCTGGTCTGAATTCCCTATTCTAGATTGTTTACAAAATATTGTTCTTAATAAACACAAACTAGCAAAAGCTGGTAGTCCAACAACATCAAGTATATCTACATGCAGGATCCAGGATCTCCGATCCCCGGGCAAGTTCAATGTCTTCAATCCTCAAAAAGGGCACTAACGAACGCATGGTTTGTTGGTACTACCATCAGACATACATTTCCATAGAAGCAATGGGTTTCTGTGAATCATCGCTTCACTGGTCCGTCAATAAATTCGCTGAACTACAAAACGGAACAGACAAATCCAACCCACAAATCTCTTACGAACTTACATGTGGGGAGTAACCAAATCGACGCAAATCAGGCAGCCCAAAAGGTATGGCTCTAGTACTTTGCTAGCAATAATCTGCACATGCTGATTATCAGGGAACCACGGTTTCAACAACAACAACATAGCTTTCAGTCCCAAGCAAGTTGGGGTAGGCTAGAGTTGAAGCCCACTAAGAACCCCAAGTCACGGTTTCAGGCACTTCAATAGTTGCTTTCCAAGTACTCATATTCAAACGTAGATCTCTATATCCCGAGCTTTCAAATCTCTTTTTATTACCTCCACATGTCAATTTCGGTCTTCATCTACCTCTCCTCGTATTATTAGCTTAGCTCATGACTCCGCGGTGCCCTGGTGCCTCTGGAGGTCTCCTTTGGAGATGGCCGAAACCACGGTTTCTCAGACTAAATCACACAAAACATCCTCCCCATCCCCAGCCAACAGCTCTGAACCAATTCGAAATCATCAACCCATACGCCATCCAAGCACCCACTCTTCCCCGCGACCCCGCCCCGAGCATTAACCGAACACCAAAATTCCCGGTACCCCGCCCCGAGCATTAACAGAACACCAAAATTCCCGGTACCGCAGCAGCAACCGCACGGAGTTCTAGAAGTTTCCGTGTCCTCGAACTGCGCAGCGAAAGGAAGCACAACAGCCACGACGACAGCCCGCGCGCAAGCCGCAAAACGAAGAAAAAGGCGGAGCAAGCCTAGAAACAGCCGCAGGTACGGTGTATCCGCCGCACAAGCTCGCCACGAAAAAGCTTCCAGAACCTTCCACGAAGACCAACCAAGCGGGAGAGCTCACCTGCATGTTCCCGTGCACCTGCACGTCCTGGTCTGCCTCCGCGCCGCTCCCGCCGGCGTCCTCCTTCATCATGGCCAAGGCCGCGGCCGCCGCCGCCGCCTCCTCCTCCTCCGCCGACATGTTCTGGAGCCGAGACGGTGCCTAGAAGCGGGAGAAGGAAGGTGGCGAAACCCTAAGTCACCATTCACGAGCGAGCGAGCGTGCGAACGAGCAGAGCAAGGACGCGCGCGCGCTCTCTCTCTCTCGCTCGCTTTGCGGCTTCTTCCCTTGGCGTTCGTTCCCTTCTCCCCTGCTTGTCCCCTCGAGCTCTTCTTCCCCCCTTTCCCGGTGGCAAAATATTTGGGGGAGATGCGGGATGCCAACGGCCAAGACGGAAAACTGGGGAACGTGTGCGCGTACGACAGACCTCTGCTTCGAGTACCCACGTTATATACACAAGGAAATGGCACGGCCCACTTCCATTGCTCCAACGGTCCAACAAACTTGGCGGTTGGCCCTCTGGACGCGTGGGGGCGACTCTTTTCAATTTCTGCAATCTGGGAAGTGTAGCAACGTGGCAAGAGTCGGTACTGTTAGGGACACAGTACCTCTGAAACGTAGATCAGGGGATAAAGGATAAACATCTTATTTAGATGGAGAAACTGATTCCTCTATTTTGCCCTGGCGCAGTTCCGCCGCAGCCGTGTGGACACCGGTGCCGTGGGAGCTCGGCACGGTGGAGTCCAGCGTAGTGGTGGCGATGCAGAGGCGACGGTGACGCGAGGTGCCGCGGTCCGGTGGTGACGGTGAAGTCAGTGGGTCTTTTCGTCGCTGGCAGCACCCTCTTTAGATCGGGTTAGGTTTAGTTGTTGGTGGGTCACGGTGGCTTAAGTCAACCTCGTAGTTAGAGCCCTGGTCCCCACCTCTCTTTATAGTGTTGTGCGACGGGGGCCCACTAACCATGGAGTGGTTGGATGCCCCCGATCAGGGCGTTGATCTAAGGACCCAATTGGCCGTTGGGCCAATTGGTAAAGATTAAACTAACATTCTTTCCCTTGATCTTACCATCTTTCAATTTCATATCATTTACTTTTATTCATTCCATTACAGATTAGCGCATAGAGCATGTTTTATCGTCACGGTCAATTGCTGATAGATTTAACAACTACAACACACTACTCTGTTCTAAAATAGATACTTAACTTTGGGTCTTCTTTTGTCTAGGAATTATAGACTTTCCCTTAAACCCATGCCGGCTACATGTTCTCTGAACACGTTGGGTGGTAAGCCTTTTGTAAGCGGATCCGCGGGCATCTTTTCGGTACTTATATGCTCAAGACTTATGACATGATCCTAGACTTTATCTTTCACAACATAATACTTTATGTCAATGTGTTTGGCAGCACCACTTGACTTATTGTTGTGAGCATATTGTACTGCCGGATTATTATCGTAGTATAACTTAAGTGGTCTATAGATATCGTTAACCACCTTCAAATCGGGTATGAACTTCTTTAGCCAGTTCACCTGCCTCGTTGCTTCATAACACGCTACAAACTTGGCATATATTGTGAACGATGTAGTGACGGTTTGCTTTGAGCTTTTTCATGAAATAGCTCCCCCTGCGAGAGTGAATACATATCCAGACGTGGATTTTCTATCATCTCCCGCATAATCAGAATCTGAATATCCCACTATATGGAGTGAATCTGATCTTCTATACGTCATCATGAGGCTTTTCGTTTCTTGCAAATAACGCAAGACTTTCTTTACTAATTTCTAGTGTTCTGTTCCAGGATTGCTCTGTAATCTGCCAAGTAACCCGATAACAAATGTCAAGTCAGGGCGTATACATACTTGAGCATATTACAAGCTTCCGACAGCTGAAGTATATAGAACCGTTTTTATTTGATCGATCTCATACTAATTCCTGGGGCATTGAAAATCCTCATGTCGGTGTTTTGGACCGGGGGGTCCTCAACCAACCAGTGAATTTGAACTGCGTGCCCCTAATCCCGGATGGTGATGCAAAGAGACACAAGGTTTATACTGGTTCAGGTAATTGGCGCCCTACGTCCAGTCTGAGAGATCGATCTTGTATTCCTTGCACCGATGTGCTTGTGGTAGGGGGTTACAAGCTGTGTGAGAGAGGGAGCTAGTCCCAGGTCTCGGCGTGGGATGACGCGGGCTGCTTGAGACGTTGCTCTCGGGCAGCTTGCGAGAGCGTGTGTTACAGAGTGTTGTTTGCGCGTGTGTGAGAGCGTCGTTGTTCCGTATTTTTTTCTTCCCCCCCTATCCTATCCCTGGCTGCTTCCTTTTATAACCGTAAGGAAGGAGCCAGGAGTACATGAGTGATCGACACATGGAGCCTACTGCAGTTCAGTCCTGTAGCAGCATGGTGTTGAGAATGGCGATCGGTACTTGACTAACGCGCCGAGCTGGCCAGGCTTGAGGTTGTTGAGGTCGTGGGGGTCCTTATTGATGTCTAGTCAGTATGGCCTCCACGGCAGGAGACATGCCGTGCCTTGTGGATTCTTGATTTGGTGGAGTGCCGAGGCCTAGCGGGTGCTGTAGCTGATCGCGCCGAGGCCTCGGAGGTGACCGGGGTATGGTGCGGGGGTCTCGGCGGTCCGCGTCGTACCCGGTCTAGGTGGAAAAGTGTGGAGCGGATATCCACAGGGCACGGTAATCCCTGCACCGTCAGTAGGGGATGGTAAAAAAGGAGATTTGACCGACGTCCCATCGCCCCTATTGCTGTACCTTGCCCATTGTGGTTGTTGTAGTAGGTGTGACCAGGCGCACTTACACGGATGGGACGGCTCGCCAGAGGAGCGGCTGAGGTGGAGTCGATGAGGATGCGGGACGAGCCCGGCCTCGGCCGAAGCGAAGAAGGAAAAGTACGTCCGAGGCCCTGCTAGGGGGTCTCGGACGAGGCGGAGGACGAGCAGTTGGGCTTTCCTGCTGTTTCCGAGACTACAGGGACATGGACTTGACCTTTCACGCCGCTTTGTCCTTGGCACAGGGGTTAGGTAGCACAGGGCAGTACGGGTGTCAGCAGGGGGCACAGCGATGAGCACAGTGGCAGGTAACCCCTGCTGCGCCCGGTCCCCTGTCCCAGCAGTCGTTCTGCCCGAACTGTGCCAGTGTGCGGCTGACGTTGCAGGAGTAGTTCGGCGCATTAATCCAGACACGACGTTTTGTCAGAGGAGCCGGTCAGGGTGGAGGTGATGAGGTTGTTGCTGAGCCCAGCCTCGGGCAAATCAGAGAATTGGCATACCATCCGAGGCATTGCGGGGCAGGGCCTCGGCGGGGCGGAGGGCTTTGGCCTCTCGTCTGAGGCCTCGGCGCAAGCCTCGAGCGAATCAGAGAATTGGCCGAGACCTCATGGTTGTCCTTTGGCTTTGATTTTTGTAGGGCTTAAGCAGTATTTTTGGTTCTTGCTTAGGGTACCCCTTCTTATGGTATCCGACAGTAGCCCCCGAGCCTCGGGAGGAGTGCGGGCACTTTCCTGAGGTTTTGACGAGACTTGGCTCAGCAGCTCCCGTCGGGATTGTGTTTTGTACTTGGTGGTTCCGGTGGGTGCGCGCGAGCGCACCCGCCGGGTGTAGCCCCCGAGGCCCTGGAGGAGTGGGTTTACTCTTCCAGGGGCTTTTTTCTCCGCTAAGCAAGGAGTTTTATCGTGTTTGCCGGGCCCATGAATGCGAGTTCGGGTCGCTGGGGCTTGGCCTAGTTGCAGGAAGAACCCCCGAGCCTCCGTACGGAGCGAGAGAGCGATCAGTGGTTTCCCTGTCTTTTTTTACGGCCCTCACGCATCCTTTTCGCTCGAAAGGAGGGGTTTGTTTGCCGAGCCCCCTCGAGTGCGAACCTAGGTCACTGGGTCTTGACAAGGTTTGCAGGGAGAACCCCCGAGCCTCCACACGGAGCGAGAGGGCGGTCAGGAGTTCCCCTGGCTTTTTGTGCGACCCTCGCTCATCCTTTTCGCTCGGAAGGAGGGGTGGAGTATGCCAGGCTACCCTCGGTGGGCGCGAGCGGTGACACTTCCGGTGAGCTGCTATCGGGTAAGTCCGAGTGGAGGCCCGTGCCCCGTTCGATAGGGGTCGGCTAGTGGTCCAGAGACGCACTCCAAAAGTACCAGAGGGCTTCTCTAGTGGGTCCCAGGGCTGTTCGATTGGCCCCGAGGGCTCGGCGCCTCCCTACGGTGGGATCCCATTCGGAGAACTCCCTGCTGGTCTCGGACACGACTTAGGGCATCCCGAGCGATCGCTTGCTTGGGCCTTGGCCATGTACGGGCTCGCCCATAGCTGTCCCTGACTCTGTTGTCCTGGGGCGGCTATCGAAACCTTTGGGGGGCCCAGCCTTCGAACCCCTGGACCGTAACGGGCTCGGTGCCCTTTTTGTCGTGTTTTTTCGAAACTCCAAGTGCGAGCTTGGGTGGCTTGCTTTTGTTTTGGGTGCAGGAAGAGCCCCCGAGCCTCCGCACGGGGCGAGAGGGCGATTAGGAGTTCCTCTGGTTCTTTAAGCGACCCCCACGCATCCTTTTCGTTCGGAAGGAGGGATTGTTTGCCGAGCCCCCTCGAGTGCGAGCCTAGGTCGTTGGGTCTCGACAAGGTTTGCAAGGAGAGCCCCCGAGCCTCCGCACAGAGCGAGAGGGCGGTTTGGAGTTCCCCTGACTTTTTGTGCGACCCTCGCGCATCCTTTTCGCTCGGAAGGAGGGGTTGTTTGCCGAGCCCCCTCGAGTGTGAGCCTAGGTCGCTGGGTCTCAGCAAGGTTTGCAGGGAGAGCCCCCTAGCCTCCGCATGGAGCGAGAGGGCGGTCAGGAGTTCCCCTAACTTTTTGTGCGACCCTCGTGCATCCTTTTCGCTCGGAAGGAGGGGTTGTTTGCCGAGCCCCCTCGAGTGCGAGCCTAGGTCGCTGGGTCTCAGCAAGGTTTGCAGGGAGAGCCCCCGAGCCTCCGCATGGAGCGAGAGGGCGGTCAGGAGTTCCCCTGACTTTTTGTGTGACCCTCGCACATCCTTTTCACTCGGAAGGAGGGATTGTTTGCCGATCCCCCTCGAGTGCAAGCCTAGGTTGCTGGGTCTCGGCAAGGTTTGCAGGGAGAGCCCCCGAGCCTCCGCACGGAGCGAGAGGGCGGTCAGGAGTTC